TTTCAACTTTCCTCCCATTTGCAATTCTTCTGGTACTCTTGTTTGTGATCCCCACGAAAAAGCAGAGGTCTTCCCTTCCCGGTTTGCCTCCAACGCCACCTTATCTGCTGACTCTAATTTTCAACCGTCCTCCAACACATCTAGTCATTCTTTTCTACCTATTATAACAACCAGAAAGGTCCGCCAAACTCTTCGCGGTTTGGATGTTTGTGAAACACCCGATACGGACGATATTCCACCTGTCGTCCTAAAAATGTGTGCCCCGGAGTTAGTCCCTGTTCTATGCTGCCTTTTGTTATTCACTCGAACTTAAATCTTTCCCTACTTCATGGAAAAATGCCATTAGTTTTCCAATCCCGAAGCGCGGTGACCCTCCCGACCCCAACAACTACCGTCCCATTACTCTTACATCTGTAATCTCGAAAGTGTTTAAACCATTATTTCCGACCAACTGCGTACGTTTCTCGAACGAGGTTTGTTAAATGACCGTCAGTACGGACTTCGCCCTCGTCGATCTACGGGCTATTTACTGGCACATCACTTTACATTCCTGGTCGGCTGCACTCGATAACCACGGAGAAACTTACATGGTCTCGCTCGACATCTCAAAAGCCTTCGACCGCGTGTGGTATGAAGGTCTGTTATCGAAATTACTCACGTTCGGATTCCACCCGTCTCTGGTATCGTGGCTTCGTTGTTTCCTCAGCAAGCGAACCATCTCCGACGAGCAGATAGGGTCCTATCTCGGTCATTTCCTGTAAACGCCGGTGTCCCCCAAGGTTTCATACTTTCGTCCACCCTCTTTCTCTTATTTACCAACGATCTTTTATTCCAAACATCTAATCCTATCCACTGCTTTGCCGATGATGCCATTCTCCATTGTTCTCTTTCTTACCCCACAATCCGTCAAGCCAATACCAAAATCGATCATGATCGTGCTTCCCTTGCCTCCGATCTCGGATTAATTTCCGCATGGGGTTCTACCAAACATGTGTGTTTCAATGCTTCCAAAACTTCTCTCCTCTCAGTCTCTCTCAAACATGTCTCCTTTTCTCCTCGATTGAGTTTCCATTCTCTGTCCCTTCATTCCACAAATTCTCTCTTCCTCCTGGGTTTATCCATAAATTCTTCTCTCTGTTGGTCCCCGTTTATATCTACACTTGCCTCTCGCGCTGCGAGCAAAGTTGGTTTTCCATTCCGCGCAAGGCGTTTCTTTACACCCAAGCACCTTCTTTTATACAAAGCTCAAATCCGCCCGATGCTTGAATACTGCAGTCACGTATAGGGTGGAGCTTTGTATTCCGCTCTTTCTCTCCTCGACCGTGTTCAACGTAAAACCATGCGGCTGATCGACGAACTGTCTTTAACTTCCACCTTGGAGTCGCTTTCCAATCGCCGGTCAGTTGCTTCGTTATCTCTTTTCCATCGTTATTATTTTGGTTTCTGCTTTTCCGAACTCGCTTCAGCGGTTCGCGTTCCATTGACCTCTCGCCCGTCTCGTTCTCAGGCAACCAGTCACCATTGTCAGGTTTCTGTTCCCAGATGTCGGACTTCTATCTTTCAATCTTCTTTTTCCCGAGGACTGCGAAATTGTGGAACACTCTTCCCATTTCCGTGTTTCCCAGCTCTTATAACCTTACCCTTTTCAAAAGCAGGATTAACAAATTGGTTCTTACTTGAATGTTCCCCCACATACAGTACAGTATATCATTGATTATGGGGTTTACCCATTTTGCTCTAAATCACTTCGTGTGTAATAAAAAAACATTTCCAAGGCGCGAAAAGCGTAGGCAGAACTGAAACACCTTTGGCTTAGATGCGATATTTCACTGAATCCGAAAGGTTGTGTATATTATGCTACCGTTCGTTCCGTTATGCTTCATGGTTGAGAGCTTGATTCTGAGTACAAGTTATCCATCGATCTCGACCATCCCATTCCGATTAGTAGGATTCACAAGTTAGGGTACGTATTGCGTATGCCCAGCTGTCGTCTGTCTCCCCGCACTGTAGGCGCTCCGGGTTGGAGGAAACCACGCGGAAGTCAACAGAAAACGTGGAGACGAGACAGGAAGAGACGTACAGTTATTAGGTAGGATACGTTTCTCGCGTCCTCCAGGTTGGGGTTCGAAAAACTCCGCAACTGGTTGGCTGAAGACATTGAAGGATATGGCGGCGAACGGACAGCAGTGGCGTTTTTGTTGTCATTTCATATCAGTTCAGAATACTTGAAACGGTTAGATTTTGCACTGTGTGCTGACCATACAGGTTCACCTCCTTTCCCATGCCCCAAACTGGGTCTACTCCCCGTCCACCTTAAATGTTGACACTAACTTTGTAATTATTGCGAGTTTGGCGGCAATCACTGAAATTCGTCTCACTATACTACGCTGTACAACGATGATGAAGATGATTGGGCGCTACAATACAAGTCCCAGGGAAAGAAAACTGCAACTTTTGAGCCGAAATACTCGGTATAATCCCGAGTGCATTCCTCTTAAGACAACGTAGTGAGTTGGCGAAATGTTCCTATAAACACAGAATCGCTACACGGAGAAATGCTTTCCAAGATTTCGCTTAAAAATGATGAGACGATAGAAGGACAACGGTTCGTAGACAGGACTACAAGAAAATAGATGAGACTGCGTGAGCGTGCGACCGGTGGGGAAATTTCTTACACAATCCTGTGGCGAGACCTCGGAGGTTGTAGAACTTACCTCAAACGTATGTACTCCGTCTGCTATAGCGCTGTTGGTATGCCAAACTTTGCAGTTTACTTTTAACAGCCGCCTCAGTGTGTCTAACATCTAACGAGCAGTACAAGGACACGAAAATTGATACCGGATGAAAGATAGGCTGTTGAGATGAGATATATACTTGACGACAAGTGTTGCGCGCTTCCAGATTTATGGATTATTTCCGCTCCCACTTGCGCTATCTAGAAAGCAATCCGATGAAAAGATGAAATGCGAAGTTTCATCAAACTATCATTTGCTTGGACGAAAGTAAATATAGAAATCACAATTTTCACTATGTTGAGAGTATAGCACTTTCGGTCTTCGCATACCTAAATTGTATCAAAACCAATGCGCTTGTTATCTCACGTTTGTAATTTGTTATGGCAACTAGCAACCGTGAAGAGTCAGTGAACAACAGACTGGTGTAGGAAACGATCCCGTAACACTGATGACAGTGATGATGTGCTCACAATGATTTTAAAGGAACAAGCGCACCCTAATGGGTCAGTTACATTGGGATAGGATTGCTGGTATTAGTAAACCCAGAATAGTTGCTTCCTATGATATCCTTTCCAGCAAACAAGATGATTGTAACATACGAGATAACCAGACAGCACAACAGGTTCAGATCCTCTGGAACAATATGCAAAGCAGGGAAAACTAAAAACTAGTCAAAACGGGGTGCACCCAAGAATAAGCTATCGGAGAAATATAAGCGCGTATTGGTATCCACGGCTTTGAACTACAAGAGTTATGCTTCGGAGGTAAAATG